TGTAGCAGTTTTCTTCACCAGGGATGCGCTCCGAGGCTTCGCTTTATTTGCAATGAGATTAGTTTGAACAGCTTGAGAAGGCGAGACAAAGACTGAAAGCAGGTGTCGCACTCCTAAAGCGTGAAAGTTGGAAACCGTGCACATAATCGAGCCCCCCCCCCTTCTAGCACTGAATAGCCAAGAGACAGCTCATCAGAGGTGTACTGATGAAATTATGAACATAGTTCAATTGTACCTCGTTGCACCATTAAGAGAAATGAAAACAGCAGCACCGGACAGAGCTTGGCTCCGCAAAACAACACAGAGGTGATAGATACGAGTGCATATCTCCACAAACTACTATGTAATTAAATTTTGCCCTGCGGGACTCCATTAATAACTTATAATATAATGCACATTTCATTGGAGGGGGCCTTCAGATGTGGGTGTGTTATTGCACTCCGGAGAAAGCGCCCTGTGTGCTTCATAACAGTTAGCGAGAAGGTAACATAAATCAGATGAGGCAGTTTTTTGTGTTAGTAGTACTTGTAATTGTCTTTTGAAAATATGCGTTTTAATAAAGTTACAGCACTTAAGCATGGAACAGTTAGCAGAATAAATAAACCAAAGCGGCTCATGCAGTACTGTGCGTGTGTGTTAGTTGACCTTTGACTGTTTAGCTGAGCATTCATTACCCTGATGGCTGACATGTTCTAATTACACAAAGGCTAATTACTGGTGTCACACATACACACAGCTTTACAGAGACGCAGTCCACTTCAGTTGGCTTTTTAGGAGGGCATGGAACTGAGTCTCACTCTTCTGATCATATCATAGGATTAAACACAGTCAAAGGATTTCAAAGCTGTGCGCTAATGGAGAGGAGAGTGCTTTTATGAGAGCTTTGAAGGTCTTGTCTTGTATCATCACTGAAGAGTCCACATCAGCTTCCAGCTCACTTCTCAGTCTCCACAGTGACATTTTTTTCATTTGCTGTCCCTTTTGTGCTCTACTCTAATTCCTAAATTCTCCCGCATAAAAACAACCACCACTTTATTTGTTCATTTACGACGAGCTGAGAAATACTTGACCCCAGATTTGGGAAATGATGCAGCAGTTAAAGAATTAAAAATTAAGTTAACTGAACTGAAAATGACTTAATAAATGTCAGTAGAGTTAACTGCTTTAATTCTACTCTGTGTTTTAAAAAAAAAGCAAACAGAGAAGTGAGGCTTATTGCCTCATAATTGTACAACAATACCTCATCACCACATGAACAGCTTTAATGTTGAAAGAGGAATAACATGCGATTCATCTGAAACTAAAATGTGATGCCTTACAAGTGAAATCACTTACAGTGGCATAAAATGGAGGTCCAAGGTCCAATTCTGGTGCTCTGCTTTTTCTTGGAAACCAAAAAAGAAGCCATGCTTTACTTTTCTAAAAGCTGTTATCATTGTATTAAAATAATAATAATTGTAGTATTTATGTAAGCCGTAAAACAACATGAGTGTTATGGATTTGAACTTACATAAGGTTTACTTTTTGTCCTAGGGTATAGAGTGTGTGTAGTAATAATACACAAACTGTTTCTCTGCCATTTGTGTTTTGATGATTAGCACTGATCATGACCTCAGTGACTTTAATGGGTTTCAGTTGTACACAGCATTAAGCTAATAGGCTATAAACTGCAGCAGTCACAATCTGCTCTTTGTAAAAAAGGATATTTAACAGCGTTGGTCGTTTGAGATCTACACTGATCATGCATTTAAGAGTAAAGTTGGCAGAAATCTTGAAGATAAAGATATGCTGTTTATTGATTTAGTTGATTCTGCTACTCCTTTGGAGGATTGTTTGTTGACAGTGTTTGCAGGTAAGGGAAATTTCAGCATAGGATCAGTTGATTCGTGTAAGCAGTGAAGGTTGCATTCAGCTTGGTCATTTTTTTGTCCTATACATTGCCCCTGAGGGTCCTTGACAAGCTGTCCAAAAACCCTGTGAGAGGATATATGAGCCACCTGCCTAGCCATCTGAAGAAAAAATAGTGTATTCCTTCCTGAATTCCTGAGAAGGTTGGTCGGTGGAAGATGGCAGATTTTTTTTCTTTTTTTATCTGCCAGTAGCAGTATGTTGATGTGTTTTGACAATGTTGTTTGTGACTGATGGGGTCCTCTGTTGAATAGATTCTGCCCCTGTGCTGTTGAAATGATGGAGCAAAGAGTGGCAACCTGACAGATGTAACATGACGTTTCTGACTAGTTATTTTTCTACCTGGAACACTGAGGTGTTGCAGTGATAAAGCATTTTGTACTCTGTTTCACTTTCTGTTTTTTCTTTTGTTTGTTTGTTTGTTTGTGTCTGCATATGTGTGTGTGTGCCAGACCTTTTCCATCGGAGGATACTGCTGAGAATGAGGATGATGTGTACCGGAGCCTGGAGGAGTTGGCAGAGTAAGTCTTCTTTTCACCACAAACTGTTTTTCGTCACCTAGGGGGACTTTGTGTTATTTCTCCAAAGACTTTTCCTAACCCTAAATGTAACCATGAACACCATATATCCTAGCAAACGCTAACCCAGTCGAGGGTGTCCTACATAAAGAGTAGGACATGGACAACCAGGGGGAAATGTAGACTGAAACTGAGTTCTGTAATTTAGATTTTTGTGGCAAAGATGAACACAAAAGACTGATGCACTGATGCAACAGTGCTCACCTTTATTTCACTAAAATTAAAAGTTGACCCTTTTTAATTGCTAATCATTGATTATAAAGTTGGATGTGGGAGGTGAATTGTTTTGCACTTATGAAATGGCCACAGTGCCAAAGGTTTTACCCCGGGCCCACAAGTTTTGCATATTTATATGCACATATATTTGTATAGCGATGCCAGGTTCTTTTTAATTTTTTAGGCATTGTTTCAAAATATTCAGATTTATTTAAAGCTATTTAAGTTTTTTCATTATACTTTTATGTTGCAACAGATCAATAATATACATTTTACAGTACTTTTTCAACAGCTTATTCTGCATCTACTAAAGTATGAGTGATATACAGCATATGGTTGTTTTTCATTTGTTCTTTACCCCCATTTTTATGTATAGTTTTACATTGTTTTTTCTAATCTGAATAGGCTCAATGAACCACCGGTTATTTAAAAAAAGCATCTGACTATGTAACAGTTCTCTACCTGTCGGTTAAATGTGACGCACCTCGCGAAGTTTAAAAGTGAACTGTGATTGTCACTTCTGCCAATTTCCTCTAACTGCTTAATTACACACACATAGAGCCTTCTGTCACTCTTCCTGTTGCCACGGTAACACCAGCATCACTCCAGGTTTAGCTGCCTCTATACCTCCTTCAGTAACGGGCTGCCTGGTTTGGTGCATATTAGGTGGGTTGGTGGGTTTTTCTGTCTGTGAAAGATGCGCTCAGAGTTGGCAGCGATGACAGCAGCCGCTTGACTCGGATTAATGGAAAATAATTAGTTAAAGGCTTTGAGAATGGTGTCATTCATCACAGAAAGATAGGAGGGAGGAGAGCGAGTTATAGAAAGGCGAGCATGCGAGCTATAGATATATGCCCGCTGAATACATAATCATCCTTTAGCATCTTCTCATGCAACAGAAGAGCAGGGCTAGCCAAAAAGGCTAGTAATGGATTTAATTCCAGATATGAAGCCCTGAAAACTTGGAACATGGGCTTTTACCATGGAAAATAAACTAAAAGGAAAAAAAAGAAAAGAAAAAGAGCATGCTGAGAGGCTGCTTTCCTTTTTTTTTGTTTTCCTTTTATTTAGAGAAGGGGTTTTCAAGTAGTGAGACACAGAGGGAGAGCCAAGGTGCACAGATATGGCGTGAGGTGAAAAGGACAGCATGGATGCAGGCTTTCTAAAAATAACACGGTGTGCTCGCAGATTGGCACACAAATTGTACTCCTTATCTAGTACAGAGCAAAGAACAATGGCAGAGATAAAAAAAAAAAAGTTGGATTACAAATGACAGCCAACAAAGTGCAACAGCTTGCAGCAGGAAAAGAGACCATTATGCATGGCAGCAGCTATTTCTAACACCTAACATTATCATTAGGATCCCTGCAAAACTAATTGCAAATCAATAATTGGGTATGATTTTTGTGAACAGTAAATTTTATATATCAATAAACATTTATTTAAATAGAAAACAGCAGGGAATACTCTGTCAAACTGTCTGAACTATTATATTGAGCTTGTCTTGTTTCAGTTTATCCACTTTGTGGGCTTGCCTCCCTCCAATCTCTGTATTCATGGTGTGTAGCGTGAGCGAGGCTGGTGCGTTTCTCTCTGCACATTCTTCTTTATAAACTTCAATTCTGAGTTTGGGAGAACAACTTATGAATCATGTTTGGAGCCTACCTAAGAACTCCTGAGGTTCATCAGGATACCGCATGATTTTTAACCAGAGAATTTGAAAACTTGTGGAGTAATGCCATGAAACCCGTGAAACAATGTTTTTGTGTGTGTGAATAATAATAAAAAAAAGTCAATCTTATTCAATGCTCCCTGTGTTTACTGTGGTTCTAAATACACCTGAAAAGTGACAGTGGTGTGCACTGTCCAGGTTGCTGAAATTACTGCTGAAAGATGCGCTGGTTTTAGTCAGTGTGTACCTCAGTAGCAACAATAGCCCAGCACAGCAAACAGTCACAGGCGTTCCATTATGACACTTGTTATCGACTGCACTAGTGTCTTGCCTCTAACTTTTAACCTCCAAAATGTCCTTTCTCCACTGATGGGTTTTAGCCTCTGTAACCATGGCAGCAGGTTGAGTTAATCTTTTCTTTTTCCTGAAATGGTCGGTGGTGTTGTAACACTTTGCTCTTTGTGTAACCTGTAGATCCAGAGGGCTGGGTCTTATTAAATTAATCATGCTGCTCTCTAGTGCAGCTGCTCTTGACCTTTTCCACTGAACATCTATGCATTTAGTTTCACCAATGGACACAAGCATAACTGATTCATCAGCATGTCCTTCACTTAATACAGTTGGACACAGTAGCACATAGGCCACGCTAGCAATAACCCTGCTCTCAGAGGCTTATTAATTAGTCTGAAATATTGATGCGCACGTAATTTACGACGGGTGCGTGACTGAACTGCGAGAGTGAGAGAGAGGACAGCGATAATCTTCCCGCAGTAATAATTTTTATGGATGTAAAACTATTCTGTGCAACAAGCATCCCAGTGGAGGAAAATAGTGCAATGGCAGGACATATGGTGTCATAAAAACAACAGCATGTAGGAAATAATACTGCAATAGTGTCACCAAAAATATTAAGTGTGGAAAAGAAAAGCTGTGTGGGAAAAGTAAAACAGAAATAATACAGCAATAGAAATCAATAAAACTGCATCATTAAGTTTGGTGGGTGCTAACTGCGTTTGACCGATGTCTGTAAAAATGGATTTTGACTTGAGTTTTAAAAACTGACATTATGTCGGCTGAGATGAAAT